ATAGCCTAGATTGAGGTAAATGGTTTGCAAGCTTTCTTGCTTACAACAGTCGCTGTTGGCTAACCTGGTGCGAAAAAGGGAGCAGCTCTGCATTAGATGCCCCAGCCAACTCACAGCCTCTCGATTATCAAAACTTCTGCAGTGCCTCCTTGTGGCCAGTCATGGTAATTAGGTACCTTGCAGTCCTAGGCTTAACTGTGAAGGAGGCCCTAAAGTTATGGAATCATGGCCCACTAGCACGTGGACACCCTGGCTTCATACTAATTCCTGCCCCCTTGCCCCCTAGGCTTAATGGATGGCTTTGGGGAGGCAGGCATTGCCAGTCTGCCACCTCTCAAGAGAACTTATCTGGCAGTGATTTATATAAATGGTGCTGAGGGGAGGGCAAACGTCCTTCCCACTGGCAAGTAAAGCAGGCTGTGGATCTTGCTGGATTGGTGACCTATGGGAGTTGGATTGGGAGCTCGAGTTACCTGTCCTGTCTGCGTCCCAGTGGCCACCAACCTGGTGTGAGCCTTGTGGGGTAAAGCCTTTAGGAACCCCACAGGTCCCACAGCTATCCATTCCTCTTTATGTGGGGCAACATCGGTGGGGAAGGCAGAGGTAGTATCCACTCAGAGTGAGAGCCTGAGATTTAACTTTATTGATATCAACTCTTTGCAACAGGATGATCAGTTGTCACTGCTGTCGAGGGAACTAAGGCAATTGGGAATTGAGTTGGTGGCTCTCTCAGAGGTGACAAGATCTGGTAGAAGCACAATCAGTGTGGGTTACTACACCTACTACTCAGGCTGCTGTGATGGTCACTATCTCCAGGAAGTAGCCATAAACATCTTTGGCAAACTTCAGCTGTCAATAGTAGAGGTTACTCCGGTCTATGAGTGTATAATGGCACTGAGCTTACATTTGGCTTCATGGTTCTTATTGCTATGTACGCTATATATATATGTGTGCTGATGCCCTATGCATCCCCCTAGCTGACGCAGAATTTGATTGATATACGCTACTAGTGATGTTTGTAAACTTGATATGATAGAGACGTTTTATGCCACACTCATATCTGTGACAGACCGCTGTTCCTGGCGAGATATTCACATTATTCTGGGTGACTTCAATGGGGTATCTGGCTGAGATCAAGCTGGCTATACGTCTGTTGGTCCTCATTGCTCAGGAGCTGATGCCGGCAGCAAGAATTGCTTCCCTTTCTGGGACTTTGCAAGATCCCATTTATTCACTGGAGAATTCTCCAGAACAGTAGGGTATACCAGAGTGCTGAAATCTGTGGTATTGCCATAGATAGGAGGTGACTACTGAGTCTACTTCAAAACTCCCCATCAGTCCAATGAATACCCTAGGGTGTTCCATGTAGACAGCTTGAGAGAGAGGGAATGTGCCCAGGGGTTTGCTGAGGCTATCTCTGATTCTTTCACAGCAATTGACAACCTGACGGATCCTATACAGCTGTGGGATAGTATCAAGTGTAAAACACTTGATGCAGTGCAGGAATCCACTGGTAACTGCCCAAGAGCAAGACAGAATTTCATCTCACAGGAGACACAGAAAGCAGCAGATGATTGCTGTGTGGCTAAACTACCAAGGGATTGTGAGTTCCATCGATCCACACGGTGTAGGACTCGCTGTTGAGAAGGGGCAAGGAACAATTTATCAGGATTTTGGTGAAGGAGGTCAAAGACCATTCCCTAGTAAATGACCTTCATTCAGCCAACTAAGCCCTTAGAAAGCATAACTCTAAGCTCAATAAGTGGCCAGATCATCTCACACTGTGTTGGTGTATAGGAATGTTGGGCTGAGTATTTTGAGCAGCTGTGCTAAGTTGACCCACCAGCAGTTATCCTGGATGTGGGTAGTATTGAGATCTCTGTGCCAGTTCCACCTATCACCATTCCAAACTGTAGTTAGGGGGGTGATTTCCTGGCAAATCTACATTAGTCCGTATCAAGGTGTTTGATACAGTGCATAGTGAATCACTCTGGGATATCCTGAGAATGAGAGGAATCATAATAAGGATTTAGATTAATAGCAAACCCATGTATCTTGGTAATGGCTGTAAAGGGTAGTGGGGGCCTGTTGAGCTTATTTCCTGTTAGGTCAGGAGTGAGGCAAGGCAGTGTTCTTGCACCAGCTCTTTTCAACATTTGCATGGATCTGATAGTAGACAGAGCTATGGTCTAAATTCTTTGTGGAGAAACACTGGGAAATATTAAGTTTACTGAACTTGACTATGCTGAATCTGGAAACCTTAGTGGCAGCTCTAGATGTATTTTGTAATGGAATAAAGCAATGTGAGATTGGCACAGGATCTGTTAAATCCCCAATCTCTGCTAAATCAGGCTCCCTTCCCACAGGATGATCCTGCTCACCATGCTGTCTCTGTTCGAAACATCCCCGGGTGGAGGAGGCCTGTGGGATGACCTAAGAAGTCAAAGCTGTCGTTAAGAGCTAGAGATGGTTGAAGTCCTTACTGTCTCTTCAAAGATTT